ATTCCATATATTTTGATATTGAAAATAAAAATTTTGAGATTGACAACGACCGTTCTTTTCTAAGTGAACTAAAAAGTTCTTTTTATAGTTACCAGACTTCTAGTTATATAAATAATGCACCTAAAAGTAACGATACTCGCCACGATCGTTACGTGTATGATACTAATTCTCATTATATTTGGAATAATCACATTAATAGTTGCATTGACAGTTATCTTCGTTCTCAAATTTGTATTGATAGTTATATTTTAAGCAATAGTGACAATTACAGTGACAGCTACATTTATAGTTACATTTGTAGCGAAAGCGTAAATAGTAGTAAAAGCGAGAGTTCCAGTATAAAAACTAGCACAGATGGTAGTGATTTTACTATAAGTTCTAATAATTTAAATGTAACTCAAAAATACAGGCATTTGTGGATTCAATGCGAAAATTGTTATGGATTAAATTATAAAAAATTTTTAAAATTAAAAATGAATATTTGTGAACAGTGTGGATGTCATTTGAAAATGAGTAGTTTCGATAGAATCGAACTTTCGATTGATCCCGGTACTTGGGATCCTATGAACGAAGACATGGTCTCTCTGGATCCCATTGAATTTCATTCGGAGGAGGAACCTTATAAAAATCGTATTGATTCTTATCAAAAAAATACAGGATTAACTGAGGCCGTTCAAACAGGCACAGGCCAACTAAATGGTATTCCCGTAGCAATTGGAGTTATGGATTTTCAGTTTATGGGGGGTAGTATGGGATCTGTAGTGGGCGAAAAAATCACACGTTTGGCCGAGTATGCTACCAATCAATTTTTACCTCTTATTATAGTGTGTGCTTCCGGAGGAGCACGCATGCAAGAAGGAAGTTTGAGCTTGATGCAAATGGCTAAAATATCTTCTGCTTTATATGATTATCAATCAAATAAAAAGTTATTTTATGTATCAATCCTTACATCCCCTACCACAGGTGGGGTGACGGCCAGTTTTGGTATGTTGGGAGATATCATTATTGCCGAACCCAATGCTTACATTGCATTTGCGGGTAAAAGAGTAATTGAACAAACATTGAATAAGACAGTACCTGAGGATTCACAAGTGGCTGAATATTTATTCCATAAGGGCTTATTCGATCCAATCGTACCACGTAATCCTTTAAAGGGCGTTCTGGGTGCGTTATTTCGGCTACATGCTTTCTTTCCTTTGAAACAAAATTAGATCAAGTGGAGCCTTAGAGTCTTAATTTAATAAGAGTATTAATTTATTAAAACTTAATAAAATTTTTTATGTGTGGTGATCAAGTAGTTATTTAATTTATAGGAATCAAAGTAAAAATACGAAGAATGGATTTTTTCTTTGGTAACATAAGATTTAATTGTAGAAAGAATCATCCAGATCATCTTTTTATCGATATTCCTGGTTACTAACCAGGAAATCCCTATTAAACAAAATAAAAGAGTGAATTCTTTCTTCCGTGAAATTGGTTAACAGGGTCTTGCATCTTTCTATATCTCCCCAAAATCACCCCCCCCCCCACTAAAAATCCTTTTTGTTGGGTCGTATTATTATAATGAATTCTTTGAGAATTTGTAATAAATCCTTTCTTTAGTAAATTTTATAAAATTATTAAATTTATAAGACAAGAACAAGATAATAACTAATAATACGAATAATATAAAGGGTGGATTATCATACATATATTTCATGTAGAAACATGTAGAAAGATTTATAGGTCCATTTATTTACATATTTATTGGATTTTATTAATTAATATATATTTATTAAAACATATACTTATATACTCCCTATTAAGTATATATACTCACTTAGGTATACTTAGTATAATATAACAATTATATATAAATTATAATATATCTTTATAACAATATAAGGATAAGGTTAAAATATTAATCTAAAACAATAAATATAACAATAAATAACAGGTACAAATATTAAATATTAAATCGAGGTACCCATTCTATGATAACTCTCAACAGCTTCCCCTCAACATTTGTGCCAGCTTAGTATTTTCGGCAATTGCAATGGCTTCTTTATCTCTTTATGTTCAAAAAAACAAGATTTTTTAGATACAATAAGGACGAATATATTTTTTTTTTTCAAGACTTACTTGGATCATAACACGGATATCTATTTAGTAGAATATGGTATAACATGTGGCTTCCTTCGAGCAGAAGCTCTTATGTATGTATAAACATGATATTATGGGTAAATGAATTATAACTACTTTCAAATAGATCGGGCAAAATGTAGTATGCGTTTATGTAGCTATCGGTCAAAAAGCATCTTCTGTGGCTCCGATTAACAAGAACACAGAATCACGCTCTGTAGGATTTGAACCTACGCTAAGAAATTCGATGAATTACCCCTAAACGTTCACATCATAATAGTGCTGGACGAACTAAACTAGGAGCGCCTTATCATCATTATCACAATAAAGATTTTGTGACCCCAATTCATCTTGCATATATATCATAAAATTAAATGAGTTGGCGATCAGAACGTATATGGATAGAACTTATAGCGGGGTCTCGAAAAACAAGTAATTTCTGCTGGGCCTTTATTCTTTTTTTAGGTTCATTAGGGTTTTTATTGGTTGGAACGTCCAGTTATTTTGGTAGGAATTTTATATCTTTATTTCCTTCTCAGCAAATAATTTTTTTTCCACAAGGGATCGTGATGTCTTTCTATGGGATCGCAGGTCTTTTTATTAGCTCTTATTTGTGGTGCACAATTTCGTGGAATGTAGGTAGTGGTTATGATCGATTCGATATAAAAGAGGGCGTAGTGTGTATTTTTCGTTGGGGATTTCCTGGAAAAAATCGTCGCATATTCCTCCGATTCCTTATGAAAGACATTCAGTCCATCAGAATAGAAATTAAAGAAGGTATTTATGCTCGTCGTGTCCTTTATATGGAAATCAAAGGCCAGGGGGCCATTCCCTTGACTCGTACTGATGAGAATTTGACTCCACGAGAAATTGAGCAAAAAGCTGCTGAATTGGCCTATTTCTTGCGTGTACCAATTGAAGTATTTTGAAAAAAGGAACTGAAGAATGAATACTTTGCAAGAGAGAAAAAACTCAAGAATCCTCGTTTTTTTATATAGCATAACTTGACTGAAGTTTCTTCAGAACGCTTATTCGAGCCAAAGCAAACGTTACGAAATAATTCTAAAACAAAATAGTTTGTGTCCACAACCTTTTTTATGCGTATGTAAACCCACTTAACTCAATTCAGTAACAAATCTAAATACTAGATTCATCATATATTAAAACAAAACATTTCATAATAAATCATAATATAATAAAGTAAAGAATTTTTTTTTTAGAAATATTTGATATTTTGATAGAACGGGAGTTCTTTCGTCTCGCAATCCGACTACTATTAATTTGAAGTGGGCTTTTTCTTATTCTATTTCTGTATTCTTTCTAAATTCAAGGACTAACCACTGTACTGAATCACAAAAAAAAATCGGAAATAGATTCATGGGCTCGATAACTTGTAATAGAACTTATGCTTGATAGAAATATTAGTATCGTATAGAGTCGACGAACGAGGTGCGTTCAGTAAAAATTAAAAAATTCACAGACGAAAAAATGGCAAAAAAGAAAGTATTAATTTCCCTTCTATATCTTGCGTCTATAGTATTTTTGCCTTGGTGGATCTCTCTCTCATTTAATAAAAGTCTGGAATCTTGGGTTACTAATTGGTGGAATACTAGGCAATCCGAAATCTTTTTGAATGATATTCAAGAAAAGAGTATTCTAAAAAAATTCATAGACTTAGAGGAACTCCTACGTTTGGACGAAATGTTAAAGGAATACCCGGAAGCACATTTACAAAAGCCTCGCATCGAAATCTACAAAGAAACGATCCAATTGATCAAGATGCACAATGAGGATCGCACGCATACAATTTTACACTTCTCGACAAATATAATATGTTTCGTCATTCTAAGTGGTTATTCTATTATAGGTAATGAAGAACTTGTTATTCTTAACTCTTGGGTTCAAGAATTCCTATATAACTTAAGCGACACAATAAAAGCTTTTTCTATTCTTTTATTAACTGATTTATGTATAGGATTCCATTCGCCCCACGGTTGGGAACTAATGATTGGCTCTGTCTACAAAGATTTTGGATTTGCTCATAATGATCAAATTATATCCGGTCTTGTTTCTACTTTTCCAGTCATTTTAGATACAATTTTTAAATATTGGATCTTTCGTTATTTAAATCGTGTATCTCCTTCACTTGTAGTGATTTATCATTCAATGAATGACTGAAAAATGATCGAACGATCCAATTATAATATTTGTTACTTTGTGGATAAGCAAAACATTCAAAATTGTACTTATTCTTTCTACCCATCCAAGGGATTCCTCCAATATTCCAGTAAAATTATTTATATTTAAGTAAATAGCAAAATTATAGATAGGGAACTATACTAGCGACCTGCCTAATTTTATTGTATAAATT